TTTTTTTATTTTGGTGTGGGGTTTTTTGTTTTTTTTTTCCATTAACAAGAAAAACGAAGTTAAAATCAGTCTTTTGCTGAAAACACTTTTACTCAAATGAAGCAAACACTCTGCTTAAGTCATACTACACAACTGCATTTCTGTCTCCCGTTACCACTCCAAGATGATTTTTCTAAGAAATGGGGAACAGTGATTTAGAAGGGAGTAGCGGAACTTCCTAATAACTTATTTATCTGTGTATTGTGCATAATGTTGTCTTTCTGTTATACTTTCTAACATTTGAGCTAAAAGTATGCTAGAGCTGCTTATTACTTATTTTTAGTTTTTCAGTTTTTTGAATGGTATTTTGTGAAGTAGTAGGGACAACAGCAGGGAGCTGTAATCTCAGTAAAGTCAGAGTCTCAGCAGTTCCATGCCTCTACACAGTTTGCTCAAGACAAGCTGTGTTGCAGCCACATGCCTCCATGTTAGCAGCAAATGCTTGAGAGACTATATTCAAAACCAAACAAACCAAATTGAATCAATTAGTAAAATCACAAACATCCTCAATATTATTTATTCACTGCAATGTCATAGCACTTAAAGATCCTCATGGGGAATCAAAATTCAGAAACATTCACTACAGGTAAGAAATTGAAAGAAAACCAGAAGCATCACCATTCAGGCAGCAAGCAAGATCACTAGAAGCTATACAAGAATAACGAATGTGGCTGTTTGCTGTGAAGTCATCTATCTGTCCTGGACTCTCTCTAATGTTTGTGTGATTGACATGAAAATCAGAATGGTTCCTACACAAACATGCAATTATGGTGTGAAAATGACCACTTTGCCTGTTTGACTGTTGAATAGAAGATGATCCCATTTTATTCTAATAGCCAGAGATCAAAATTAGTCTTACAACACATAAAAAATGTGTTTTGAATGTTTTTGAGGGTTTTTTCCTCAGTCTGTTTCCCCTGTCTGAAGAAGCTTTTAAATTGTCACATAAATTTTACTTATCTAGACAGTAACCATGTCTTCTTGACATCTAATTCTAAGTCTCATGAATGTCATTTAAAAGTAGCAATACATCAACATAATTAAAAATCAAAATTGAGATTTATAATCCCTCACTCCTAAAGGCATAACTTCACTTTCATAGTGACTTTTCAGTGTAAAATAGCTTATCCTTTCCCAGCTTCTCTAACAGGAAAAACAATTGCAATCTTTCTGTTGTATTACTGCAAACTGAGAATACAATAGACAGTTTAAACTCACTGACTTCCTCATTGCAAAAAATCTCTCTACTGATCCTGGCATCACAATCACAGGGCAAAGGAAGAGTTAAATATGGTTGATTGTTTTTACTTTTTTTTGCATAAGTGACCATTACATAAGTGAAACTGCAGGACAGGAGAAATGCTGAGAGAAATAGTTTTGTTTGATGAAACACAAATTCAAGCAGATTCCAAAAAAGAGATTGGGTTTTTTTTTGTTATCCCAGAGATGAATCTTCCTAATGAGGCACAAAGATTAAAGAAAAAACTTCCAAGCTATTGTATTATACGACTAGCAAGTTCCAGGGCCAAATTCATCCAAATATACCTTCAGTGGAGTAACAATGGAGCTTGGTTTCATCACCTTGCTTTCACAGCCTAATTTCTCATGAAAAGTTCATGATATAATGAATTGTACAGCTGCCAACCTTTTTTTTTTCCTTTCCTAAGAAGACAGTGTTATTATCTGACCACCTAAAGGAGGTAAACCAGCAATTACATCAAAGAAAGAAAGGCAATATGAAATTAATGCCACAGGGTCGAGTTACTCTATTACTCCCCTCTTCCACCGCCTTCCACCACTTTTATGTTCCAATGAATGCCCTTCTGTTTTCAGTAGTAAAATTTTAAATAGCAACACAAAGTCATCGGTTACATGAGATTTAGAGTTAGTATTCAACTCATTTCTATAGTTGGCCTTCAAGTCTTACTAACTCCTAAGCCAAAAACAGCTGACCTCACCCCACTCCTGGGGATCACCAAGGAGGATTTCAGATTTGGTTGATACAAAGCCATGCTGTCAGGCTTTTTCTGTGGAAGTAGCACCGATGATGATGATGACACGGAGGCAACCAGCAGCCTTTTTTGTGGCCACATCCTGTATGTACAGGGACAGAAATAGTCTGTGCTATTGGAGATTATCAGGGCTGGCCTGAAGAGCATTGCTCATGCTGCCACAGAGCAGCATGAAATCATCCTGCAAGGTAAGGGGCTTCCAAGCCAAAGAAGGTGGCTTGGACCAATGTCTGTCAACCTCAAAAGCAGCTTTGACATAACTGTAATGAAAAAGAGCCTTGTCAATCCATTGTTTAAAGGCTGAGGAAAATAAGAGAAGTGCAAAGTCAAAATGCAGGCTTCAGTGCCACTTTGCAGAATTTAAAACTTGTATTTCTGACACACAAAACTACACCACAGTTCAGTGAAAATGTACACCCTAGGCCAGGCACATTCCCACTCAACACCACTGGAGCTTCATCCATAGTCCACTTAAAGAGGCATGGCTGCATTTCCCACAGCAAGCAGGACCAAAGGAATTAATGCTGTTCACAAGAAAGCAGACAGGCTTATTTTAAGGGGAAGGATGCTCTGGAAAGGCAAAGTCATCAGAGTGACCACCGTGGATGTCCCAGGCCTCCTTACACGGAGCCAAGGGAGCTTAAAGCAATGGAGTAAGAAGTCAGAAGGTACTAGTCTTAAATAGACAAAGTAAATAGGAAGGCATTTTGACAGCCAGGCAGTCTGTACACTGACCACAAAATACCTGCACGACTGTGCTGCAGTCAGTCCAGAAGAAGGTGGACATCTATGACCCTAGGAAAAGGGTCCTGCCTAACTCAAGAACACGTTCTTCGAGGTTATTTCAGGGACTGAGATAAATCCCCTGTTCTGTTAAATAGATTCTTTGGAAAGTCTTCTCTCAGTATACATTTGAACAATTTAGAGAACCTAGGAATCTTATCCCTGAAAGATAATTCAGCAATTTAAGTTAAGTAGATGCGTTAAACCAAAATCATACAGACATGCCAATTTAGTGAACCTCTTTGTGGAAAAAAAAAAGGATTTGGTCTCCTCTTTTTTAATTATCAGTAGTTATCTTTGCAAGCAAAAGAACAATTTACATTAAAAGCTGATTTTCATTCTAATGAACTAATCAAACAACTCGTGAGTCTGCAAAGGTTTATCCATGTTTTTTTCTGTATTCTGTTGAGCAGCCCCACTGAATTAAGGGTAATTACTCATACTGGAGGGGTCACACAGTATTTTAACTGCACCTCATGTGCATTGGCATAAATATATGCTAAGAAGAGCCAGAGAAGATTCATCTCCATGAAAAAAAAAAAAAAATAAATATTGGAGGAAAAAGAGAGGTAAAGATCAACAAGGATAAATTTCAGGAGATCCTTTCCTGAGCCCTAATATATTGCTATAGAAGTTTAGATATACATTTGTATGTAAGGGAGCATGGGCATGGCTGTTTAATTGTACATCTATTCCTAAATCACAATAACTACAGTTTACTCAACAGGAAAACTGTGTTATCAAAAGACCTGGAGGTACTGCCTGCACCTGCAAGAAGGCAGACTCCCCTGTGATTTAGTATTTTTCATCTCTGACACCCATGACCATGATTTCCAAACTGTAGTTTATAGGTTCACAGTAAGTTGTGTATTGCCAGTACACTGGAAAATAACAGAAAGAAGTTTAGCTACGGTGATAGCTGGTCCATAAGAATCACAGAGTCATGGAATGGTTTGGATTGGAAGGGACCTTTGAGATCATCTAGTTCCAACCCCCTGCCATGGGGCAGGGACACCTTCCACTAGACCAGGTTGCTCAAAGCCCCATCCAAACTGGCCTTGAACACTGCCAGGGATGGGGCAGCCACAGATTCTCTGGGCAACCATTATGACAATTGGCAAATCATTAAATAAATAGTACTTTTATGTTTAGTTTTAATTAATTAGGTTTTTTTAATCTGATTTCAACATTAAACTGCTTTGAAATCTACCCTGTTTTTTCCTGATTTCTAGCAGTGCAAGAAGAATCTCCAGCATCAGGTTCTGGAGAGTGTGCTGGCACTCTACTTCACCACTGCAATGATGTGAGCCACCTTGCTTGACGCAGACACCCCAAGGCAGGGTTTCAAGACCTGTGCTCTGCAGTAGCTTGGATTAGGTACAGCACTGTTCTCACTTTAAGTTCTGTCAAGTCACCTCTACAAATTCTCATAAATCTCAAAAAGGTTGACAGTCCACCCTGGCTGCCTTCCACACACTGTTGTTGTTGGTGGTGCAAAGCTTGCTCCATCATGCTACCAAAGAGGTTTAAGAAAGTAAATGTGTGAACAAGAAAGGGCTAAAAAGCCACCTGCAATATTTTTGAGTCTATAAAATGTTTCTAAATACTTACAAATAAAATTGCTGATGTTGTATCTGTCGCAACAGGAAATACTAGCACTCCCACCCCCAAAACCTGCACCTCTCCTGCTGGAGAAGAGGATGCACAAGGAGCACACACTTGATGTGTGGTGCATCAGCTGTCACAGTTGTGTTATTAGTGCCATTTTAGTATTTGCAATTTAGCTGTAGCGGTTCT